AGACCCATTTCTGGACAGAAAACTTCAGCTATTACATTCTGCACTATAATGTGTTGCTTGCTGTTTTTCCACGCTAAAGTAGGTGTATAGCCTTGTGTGTTTCTTCTCAGCTCTTTCCACGTGTAATTCTCCGAGTAATTAGTGCCTTATGGTGAAGAGGGGATGGATCCTGGGTCCCCATCGCTCTGTCCAGAGTGGAAGGACCTGACGAGAGGGTGTGGTGGAGGCTTGTGGAATGTGGATGGCACTGAAGGGCGAGGCTGTGCCTTTGCACAGGATACATCTCAGCCTGGTGAAGAGCTATGGAGAAGGTGCCCACTTACAGCTTGGGAGCTAATGCAGGGTAGCTCAACTTCTTAGGAGACCTCAGCGATCTCAAAATACGGCCTGATATATATATATATATTTTATGGCGGTAATTAAAAAAGTGGGGTACATCATATTCGGGAAAGTTTACATGCAAATCCAGTTTAGTTGTCTGCTATTCTCCTAAAATCTGAAGATTTTGTAATACACTGGGCTCTCATTGTAAAGGGCGGCAAATTCCCTGGTGTAAGCAGCATAGCACACACTCCAGAGTTCTGACACATACATACCTGCTTGGCTTCTTTCATTTATGTTAGTCATAAGTGCCAAAAGCTGTTTGAGTTTGCTAGCCCTGGTTTGGAGCTACAGAGCACGTAAGTAGAATCGGATCCCTGCAGGGGAGACATTGTGAAGTCCCACTTGAGGGGAATGCAAACGTGCATATCATCAGCTTTAAAAATAGCTAATATTAAGCAGGACTAAGTGTGTGCCAGGCCTGTGCTAAGTATTTTACATAGAACATATCCTTCAATCCTCATAAACCCATTTTACAGATGAGGAAACTGAGATGTAGAGAGGTTATGTACAAGTTATTTTGTATTTAGGTTGTATTTTATTCAAAGTATGCTCTGCTCAAGACCATTCATAGTTCAAAACAAATCCTTACGAAAATTGGCTGGTATTTCTGCTTAGTGGTTAGAGGTCTAGCATTTGGCTGTGGACCAAACTACCAGCTTAAAGGTCACCCATCCAGACAGGCCTTGAAGTTATACTATTCTTGACAAATTTTAAAAAGTGGATTCCCATTTATTACCAATTTTGCAAATAAAGCCAGACTTGATTAATATTTCAATTTGGTAAGTTAAAATTTACATAAAATACCACTTTACTATAACTTCAAGTCATACTAGTGAATCTGACTCCAAAGTCATGAGCGATACAAACTACATTTCCATAAAAATCTGGGTTGTTGATTGTTATTAGAAAACTGGAGGCTGGGGTGAGGCAGATGTACCCCCTTGCTACCTGTGGGTCGAAAATAATCGTCATTGCTGAATGGACACCGGAGGTCACCAACACCGGTTTTTTGAAGTGGTTTATACGTGCAAGCAAGCTGTGATTGGTTTCAATCAGGAGCGCTCCGTTTAGGCTTTGGAATGGAAATCTCGGACTTTCACTTTTCAACTTTACCTTTGAGATTGCTGAGATATGTTTTTTTATGAAGTCAGCTTACCAAGAATTCTAACAGAACCACTGTTTTCTTTTCCATGTGTAGCATTTGGGGAGCAGATTTTGTTACTTGGATTTGGCTGTTAAAATTCTGTATATCTGTGTATATCTTCAAAGAATACATACACGTTTCCTGCCTGAACGTGGCCGCCTCAGTGTCTAGAGCACATATCTTTGGTCTAGAGCCAGACTGAAAGCCTGGGAGGAGTTCATCCCTCTGCTCTTTTTCCTTTGGCTACAGAGCTATGGAGAGTCCCCTGGGATGGTGGGAGGGAGGGGGTCCATGGTGAGGTCAGAGGGAAGAATGGTGAATGCATAAGGGGACATGGGGATTTTTCTGTACATCCAACAATAGAACTATAAGACTATACACTGTATGTGCTTTTGTAGATCACACTAACATTTCAAATATTAATCCAGTCAGGAAGTTTTGGCAAACAAAAAATCTAGAGTAAATGAGACATCTTCCTGATTTGTATTTAGTGTCATTACTTGGCATATTCGTCACATGATTATTAAATACTCTGGCCCTGTTCTGAAGCATTCTCCTCCTTTATACACTCTAAACCCCTTGTTGGGCTTGATGAGATTTAGATAGCAACTCTGTCGACCCAGTCAGTTTCCGGGGTTTGTTTCTGCCCCGTGCACAAATTGGCACAGAAATGAGTGGCTAGTTATTGACACGACTCCTTGCTTCTGAGTGCATCCTTAGCGTCCTGGTTTTAGACTGTGCCAAAGACCAACGAATAATTGGGAATGTACCCAAGCCAAGACCCATCTCCTATGGCTGTTGTCCAGAAAACACTGATAAAATTGGCTTTATGTAGCTTCAACAGGCCCACTGAAGCCCACGATGATTTCCTTCCATTGTTTCAAACTTGATGCCCTGGCTTCAGGAACCAGGAGAAAGAGAGTAAAAGTTCATTCTGGCCAGAGATATTTCTCTATTCCTTTCCCTTAAGCAGTCAGATACTTTGCTGACATTAAGAAGTTTTGTCCAAATGTTAAGTCCCCTGGAATGTGCTAGCTCTTTCTCTGTGTGTGTTTTATAGATGGAACAATTCTTAGAGGATGTGCTTTTGTGAGTTTGTATCCATTTTTTTTTCAATATTTTAATCTAAATTGAGTCCTGAGGTAGATACCTACTTCATAATGCCCCAAAGAACTGTTTGTTGCTTTTTCTGTGGTTGATGCTTAGACTGAGTCTTTACATCTTCTTGGACTGTCCCAGGCCATATAACCCAAGCCTCTCTTTAGAGAAAAGAAACTGAGCCTGGGATCACACAATTAGTTGCAGAGTGAACTAGATGGCAGGCATCCAGACCACTGACCTTTTCCTTAGAGTTGAGCCGTTTAAGAACATGTTTATGTAGCACTATGTAGCTTTTTCTTTCCAGGGTTTCGCAGTGGGAAGATGGTAGGGAATTCAGCCTATAATTATTTGTGGCTTAAATGACTTTCATTATTGGCTCAATGGTAGCTCTTAATACATCCTAATAGATGCTTCCAGGGATGGGTAATTCCCTTGTCATTATAGGTGACTTCATTTATCTCTTCTTCTCCAGCTAGGCCCATCATTTCTGTCTGCTACCCATCACCTATCCCTAAGCCATTCTTTGTTTGGCGGTAGCATCATTTGTTAAATCTTGATCGCAGTAGCCTCAAAATTCCACCTTCTGAAAGATGTTCGGGCTAACGGCCTAATTTTAGCTCTAAGGTGACATTGAATTGACATTTTTGATGTTCAGAAGCAAGGTGTGGGGATTGCTAGCTTCATGGGGATATAAAGTTTGGTAGATCTGGCGATTTAAGCTTTAAGATCATTGCAATGCCAAGTTACCATTCAGCCTTATTATTGTTCTGGAGCTACGGTGTTTTATGAAGTTGACATGCAATGTGTGGTGAAGCCTTTAAAGTGACATGCCTCGTTCACATCTCTGTGCTACTACTGGGAGTGACTTGGCACCCACATTGATTCATTGAGCTATTCTAGTGTATTGGTTTGGGCCTCTACCTGACTGATCATTTTACCAGTGAAACAACCCTGCCATTTATAAAGCAAAATTCGAACTGGATCGCTACATGTATATTTGAAGATAGGTGTTTAAAATGACAGAAATCTCTATTGATTTAGTAAGTTTACTAAAATGTAAACTCACTCTTTAGAGGAGTCATTCAATAATTCATTCATTTATTTATATGCAGATTTTAAACAGACACCTTCTGTTTCAGGCACTGTTCTAGGCATTAAGAATATGTCAGTGACCAAACAAAGAAAAGTATCCTTTTCCTCATCTTATGTTGCCAATTCCTATATTTTCTCTGCATATATCTCATCCCTGTAAAAATGTTTTAGAATTATGGCAGTGTCCTGTGAGAACTAGCTTTTTTGCTTATGATTTTCTACTCCTTGCTATAATCTCTCCATGGAACAATTGCTGGTTTGTTACCCTCATAATAATAATTCTCTAATATTAATTTTCAGTGGGATTTTTAGTATGGCTTTCTGCTTTATTCTTCCACCTGGCTGATAAAGGTAGCACTTGGACAAAGGAAGAGAACTTCAGATTATCATCTGATTTGATAATTATCAGTAGGAAGATGACAGGCATTAAGAAACACATTAAGATGTGTCTGTGGTTTTATCCATAAACCAGGCCTGACTGTGTCATCTCCGGGGGTCCCCATTCTGCGGGTTACAGACCAGTACCTGTCTGTGGCCTGTTAGGAACCGGGATGCACAGCAGAAGGTGAGCGGCGGGCGAATGAGCGAAGCTTCATCTGTATTTGCAGCTGCTCCCCAGCGCTAGCATCACCGCCTCAGCTCCATCTCAGATTAGATTCTCATAGGAGCACTGGTCCTTGGTGCCAAAAAGGATGGAGACTGCTGCTGTATATGAACAAGTTGGAACACAGCTTCCCATTGACCCTTCCCTCTTCTTTCTTTCCTAAGCATTTTATTGAGCAAGCCTGACCTTTTCCTCCTTGGTGATTGGTTCCTGCTTCTTTATAAATGCAAGTATCTTGAGCCCTTGTTCTAGGATTGCAGGTGATTTGGTGATTCAGGAACACATGTTAAACGGGCATAAACTTTAAACTCCAAACCTAGTGATTCTGATTTTGTGGGTCTAAGGTGGGAACCTACAACCTGCATTTTCAAAAAGGAGGGCTGGAGAAAGGAGGGGCATCCTAATGCCGACGTAGATGGGTTACTGTCTAAAATGTTCTACGACTGTGGAAATATTGTTGAACCACTTTCTACCAGGCTGAGCCATAGGTATGACTTGGCCGTTAAATCTTATATGCTGAAGAGTCCAAATTTATATACTGTACATGCAATTAAGATGCCAGCAGCCACCTATAAATGTCGATAGTACCGAAGGATTCTGTATTACCTAGCTGTTCACCAGTGGGAGAAGATCGTCTCAGTTTTGTTAACCAGTTTTCTTGGGATTTCTCCTTAGGCAATGGTGGCTTGCTACCCAGGAAATGGAACAGGTTATGTTCGGCATGTAGACAACCCCAACGGTGACGGCCGCTGCATCACCTGCATCTACTATCTGAACAAGAATTGGGATTCCAAGGTACGTTGGAGTAATGAGAATAGAGTATGGGGTTAGAAACTAGAGGAAAAGAATTGACGTGACTTAGAGAAGAGTTTGGAGTTCATAATTCCCACTGATGAATCTTTTTTATTTCATGCTTTCCTCCCCTCCCTCAGTATTAGTACTAAAGTTGATGAGATGAAAATAATGGATATGAAGTTAATTTGATGAGGAGTAGGTAGGGTCATTGTTAGTTATTAGGATATGGGAGAAGTGATTGATGAAGAGAAGGTAATTTGTTATTTTAGGATTAGGATTATTTTAGGATTAGTCTAGTCCAGAGCTGGTGGGACTCTAAGTGTAGAATAAGATGTACATTTTTCCCTTCCAGCAGCAACACTGAGAGAATTCTACAAAAATAGAACTGTAGGATATAAAACCACCCTCAAGTGAGGTTTCCCACACAATCCTCTCTCTGCGTGATATATCTCATTGGTGGCTGCTTGCCATAGCTTACTATGGTTTGTGAATGCCAAAGGCTGTATGGCTTATTTTTGTATTTCTGAACATATAGATAGATAAAGATATGAAGTCTGGTTCCACGCTTACAAACATTTGTCTAGAATTTGTATGCTTTTAGAAAGTTAAGGAAGATTTAGGAGTCTGAGAAGTCAGAGAACTTTTCATGCTTATTTGGCTTTTGAACCTTCTGCATCTCTCTTTCCTGTTCGTTAGGATAGACGCAGGCCATCATAAAGCTAGGATATTTTATCTGGGGTCAGAAGAACTAAACCTGGGAAATCAGTGAATCAGTGGCAAGGCTTGTCACTTCTCCCTGTTTGGTAACATGACTAGAATATATCTGTCAGTTGTCTTTTAAAATCTTGGAAGGTGATGTTATAGGAGAGAGAATAAAGTCGTCAAGTCAGTGATAATAAATTGCAAAATAGAAAATCAACAAATACTTGCATGCCTGATAGGACTGTGCAGGAAATATTGGTGTGCGAGGCCTGAATTCTACCCTGCTATGGTAATTCTAGTAGGGCAGATTGGGCATACATGTAAAATGAACAAGTAATTGAAGGAAGAGAGTGATATATGTAATAAAAGGTACAGATAAGGTGGTTTGAGAGTTCAGAAAAAAGAGTATGTCACTTCCAACTAACAGGGTCATATAGGAGCTGGGGGAGTGCAGAGGAAAGCTGTACATTCCAGTCAGAGGGGAAGTTATGTGGGATGGTTATCCTAGGAAGCTGTTCAGATTAGATTGAGCCATGTGAAATTGCTGGGGTTTTTGTGTATAGGTCAAAATCAGTTGAATATTTGCAATTCTGTATGATTTGATCTAATAGGACTCCATTTCATGTCCATGGGCTTCGTGATTGCGGGGGTGGGAAGGCGTCCTTTGGGCTGTGGTGAACAAGGAGATATTTCTAGCCAAGTCTGAAATAAAAATGAATATAAAGTATGAGGCTGAAGTAACTATTTGGGGGCAATATATACTTAGAGTGGAGGTTGGAGATGGCTTTGTCTGAAATATCATTGTTAATTAACTATGCGTGACTCCAGGAAATAATGTACCTTTTTTGTGGCCCTCAGGTACACGGTGGGGTCCTACGGATATTTCCAGAAGGGAAGTCATTTGTAGCAGATGTGGAGCCCATTTTTGACAGACTCTTGTTCTTCTGGTCAGACCGAAGGAACCCCCATGAAGTCCAACCTTCCTTTGCGACCAGGTAATAGCCTAGGCCATGATTCCTCTTGAGAAGATTCTTGTTCAAACCTCAGTTCCCAGAGAATTCTCTAAACTTGTGTCCTGTGCATATGAGGGAGCAACCACACCCCAAAGTTGATAGCAAACCTGTTTGGAGTCAAAAATTAAAAAGGAAATTTTGTATTCTTTAGTATACAAAATCTAACGTCACTTTAAACTATTAACAAATTGTTTTCCGTTAGGTGAGTGTATTGGATTCCAAATTTCCCAGAGTGATTTTCTCTTCTCTCCTTTCATCCACATCCCTCCTTTAAAAAACCTAAGGTTGAACTAATTCTAGAGAATGTTGGCTACCACATATCAGGAATTCTGTCTGATTAACTCTGGATGAGTTTACGAGATGCCAGTTGCAAGCAGAGAAAGAATCTGCAGAAAAGAAAGAGGAATTTGTTCTGACTTCTATTCCTTTTTACACTTTCCTTAGCGTAAAATTGGTTTGGGCTCACTGTACTGATCATATCCGAACAGCTGGATTCTTAAAAATCCTTTCCTTAGCTCACGCTTGGAGAGATTTTCAGGGTAACTGAATAACCAAGTGTTGTTTAGTATTAATCTAGAAACTCTTGATATAATCTTAATTTTGGGTTCTGCCTCTCATTGGCCTTTGCTTATGGCCAAAGCTGTCAACCAGACAGTACTGGAGTGCTGTGGGTACAGCTTGAACTGGGACTAGCAATTGGGGGCAGAGGGTGAGAACTTGAGTTGAAGGATAATTACTAAACCTTAACAAGCCTAATTAAATTAAAATCACATGTGTAAAGAGGTTAAGATTTATACACGTCCCCTTCCAGAAATCACAGATCTGAGCCCACACAGAGTTGCATATTAAATGTCAAATTGGAATGCGCCCTAGGTGACCAGGTAACAAATTCAACCGCCAAAACCTGCCTGTGGCTTGTTTGATAGGGTTCTACGATTGGATCCTGTCATTTGTTCCAGAATTCTTTTGTTATTCCTCAGTCCCTTGATGGCCGGAGTCGCAAGGGGAACGTTAGCAAATGTTGATGGGAAGCCCTTGAAAAAGTCGAGTGCGAGTGCTATAGAAATTCCAGTAGCTAATAATAATCATAAAATGAAACTTTTCGAAAACTCGGGCATGAAAGGATTCCTATTCCAGTCCAGCCTATAGATGGGATAAAGCAAATTAATGAGAATGCAGTAGAAAGCTCGAAGACATCATCATTCTGTTGCATCTTTGCCTCAGTGTCCCAAACTAAAGGAAGAAAGCCAAGAGTTTTAAGTGTCCTGTCATTTAAATAAATTATTCTTCGCAGCTTCACTTAGATGTCACCTCTTCTTCTCTGTGTTCTCCCCAACAACTTGGGTCTCCCAGTCTTTAGCAGAATGATTCCCTTTTGGTCTTTTCTGTGTGGGTCATCTTGGCTTGTTATATTATTTGTTAAATCGCCTGTCTCCTCAGCTAGAGTATGAGCTCCTTGAGGAAGAGGCAGATATATTCACATGATCATTTGATTTTCCACTGCCCACTCTAATGCCTGGTGCATACTTGGAATTCCTTCCGTGTTCTATCACATTTAAATAGAATTGAAACCAGAGAAGTTTATTTTAAATTAAAATTGGGATGGACTTCTAATACTAGGGGAAAACTTTAAATGTTGGCTTTACAGAGGACTCTGAAATGAGATTTCTAGTAAGTATTTTTTTATTTTTTGGTAGTATTTTTTAACCTCTTTTCTTTTATCTCTCTGCTTATCTTTTACAGATATGCTATGACTGTTTGGTACTTTGATGCTGAAGAAAGGGCAGAAGCCAAAAAGAAATTCAGGAATTTAACTAGTATGTGTTTGATAATTTTCTGTGACTTTTCATCGAATCAATCCATGACTTTTATTCCAAATTTTTATATATATTCTAATCTACTCTGTTCATTCTCAGCTGCAGCTTAGCGTCATATATAATGGCATCCTGATGGGCTTCATCCTGAAACCCTGGCCTTAGCTCTGCTGGAAAAATCAGAAGAAAATGCAAAGGGCATCCTTTGTGAATGCCCACTGATTGCATGACAGTTTCTAATAGATGGGAAATTGTTGACTTTTTATCATTAATGTTCACCCATCAAACATAACGTTAAATTTTGCACATGATTTTGGTACATTGCAAAGGAAATACATTAGAACCCAGCTATAATGGTTAATTTATTATATTGGTGTGGGACTGTGACTCTCAATATAAAATCTGGACTCGTGTCTTATAAAGTGAATATGACTTAACACCATTCCTGTCCCTTCCAACTGGTACTGTAAGGCAGCATTTCTCAAAATATGTTGCATTGAGAATACTAGTCTTGTCACTCATGCCAAGGCAGTTTGTGAGAAGGTAAATTCCTGGCCCCTAAAATGTGGGAAGTGTTACATACTCTATCCCTCTCTCAAAGAGTCACAGTGCTCACTGGCGTATTAATCAAGAAAAATTAATCTAAGAAATCCTACAGTATAGACATGTGTAACATTGCCTAACTCATGACCCATTTGGACTATATACCTATCAAACATCTACAAAAACACATTTTGCTAAGTCCTATCAGGAGGCACTCTGCTCAACTTTGTTCTGTAAGTTGGGAAGTATTTACTGGAGGCTTTTTGGATGACGTTTGTGACATGACATTGATCTGATCTAGCTCCTTACCCATTTCATTTTATTTTCTGTCTCCAACCCAGGGAAAACAGAATCTGCCCTCACTGAAGACTGACGGTCTCTGAAATCACTGGCCTTTATTCATTTTAGCAACGGTTAATGAATCCCTTTAAGAGTTGAGATCCAAAGAAGGCCTCTTCAGTGACACGGTGACAAGAAACCCCCCTGCTGCTTGCATCATTCATATCCCTGTCTTGCGAATGGTACTCTGTGTTTTCTTGCCAAGACTGTATCTACCTGCAGATACTGTCTTTGCCAGATGAACTCATTTGCTAACTCCAAAAATACCTGCAGACAACCTCGCTGGCCAGTGATTTAACTGATAGATTTGGTAATACTATCAAAACGAGAGCCTGGAAGCATGGGCAAGGGAATGAATCTTACTTGCACTTTATGTATACCTCCTAATTTGAAAGGAGGAGGTTTGCAAAGATGAAAAAGAAAAAAAAAGAAAAAAAAAAGAAAAAAAATGGTGACGGATGTCATAGAGAGGCATCTTTGAAGACTTAATAGCAAGAAATGGAGATTTGTGTCATTTGAACAATTTCCAGATGTTCTTAATCCAGGGCTGTTGGCGTTTCTGGAGAATTATCACAACATAATGACATTATTACCTCTAGAAAGGGCTGCTGTCATGGTCATCAATTTATAAGTGTCCTGTAGACACTCCTTTTTTTCTGGTCCCGTAAGCTGGACTCTGCCTCTGCCCCGTTTTGCTGAAAATATGACCTTCTGATTAAAAATGACATCATTTATTTTCTATTTTCACTTTTACTTGGAGAACCTAATTCCTCAGAGGCAAAAACTAGACATTAATTGTTTTGGTTGCTCTGTTGGAATGGAATTTGTGTTTAAATCAAAGGGAAAAATGTCTGCCAGGTCGTTTAGAGTCAGCAGCCTCTGATGATGATGACGGTGTCGGAAGACCTGGGTGTACCAATGTACCACAAATGTGCGCACCTTGAGCAGTTCGACAATGGAGAGGGAATTGGAAATGTGGGCACTCTCATTTTTCAGTTTTCTTTTCTAATGAGTTCATCCTTCTTTAGCAAAATAAGAAAATGAGAAAAAACAGGGTGCTCTATTTTAAAAAGGAAATGGAAATAAAACAAAAGTCTTGAAAAGCCGTGTGAGTTCTTTCACATTTTCTACCCCTAGTTGCCTTTTTCAACAGACTTGACTCTCCACTGTGTTTGGCAGTGTGGCCAGAATCATGAATTTGCTAGAACTGTGGAGGATTCCACTACTGCAGTAAGCACAGAATCCACTGCCTAAAGAACCCTTATCAGTGCCTATTTTATGAAAGTTACCCTTCCTGGTTTTCAATTCCATTTTCATATTTTAAAAATCCCTTTAATTTCTTGCTTGAAAATCTCGCGGACATTAAAGAGGCAGAAATACTTTGTCATTTACAGATATATAGACTTTCCAAGAAAAAAGCTTAGTTTTTTCCTTTTCTGGTTTTAGAAAATTTCCAAACAAGACTTGCCTTCATTCTCATAATTGCTCTTTTTTTTTTATAGTACTGATCACGAACTAACTTACTATGTAATTTACTTATTTATTATGATTAATGTCTTTTATCCTTTCTCTGGAGTGTAAGCACGAAGAAGACAGGGATTTTGTATGTTTTTAATCAATGGAATGTATTCCCAGCACCTAAAATAGTGCCTGGCACACAGCAAGGGCTCAGTAAAATATTCATTGAATAAACTCACTCTCCTACCTTAGCATTTCAATGGTTTGATTAATTTCTTTCACCTTTGGCGGGAAGGTCTCACTAGAATTTTTGCACACACATCTTTCATTGTTGACTTATAAATTTAAGCTAATAGTTTAGAAAGCGCTGGTCATTGCGTCATTTCATATTTGTTTACCTGTTTGAACAGGTCATTGGCTGCTATGAATCTGAAAATTGAACAAAGAAGAATTCTGCCCTTCAGTGTATTGGAACTGTAGGTGTAACATACTATTAGCTTCACGTAGGACGGAGCACATTCTTCCTTTGAAACAATTTTGAAAAACTTTATTAAGAGAGAAAGAAGATTGTTTATTAGGAATTTTGCTTTCTATAAAATTGTAATTAAGTTTTTTTTCCATGATTACTAATGCCATGAGAATGACTGACTATATTCTGAAGGAATATAATGTCATTCCAATGGTATATCTTATATCTTTCATCTCAGTCTATATTTTGACTTGCCAAAAGATCGGACCTCTTATGCCTTGCTTATTTCTTCCAGACGAATGTCCTATAAACTAATAAACTATATACCAAATCAACTTTTAATGCACTGATTTTTTCCATGCCTGAATTTAAGTCCTAGAAGATTAACCTGGAAAATACAAGTATAGTGTCTGCTATCTTGCTTCTCTGTTTGACAGCCCACTTAGGGGAGGACTTATCCCTGCTGAAGCAGTATTATTTGGCAAGTAATCTGATCAATTTCCCTTATATTCCTGGCAATGGAATAGTAAGAGCCTACCTCACTGTTATGTCACCTATATAATGCAGAGTCCTTAGCAGGAGATTAAATTTTGAACCAAGGATCCAATTTCATGGAAATAAAAAGTCTTACCTAAATGCATTAAATAGATCTTCAGTAGAGTAGTTAATACCAATTAAATGCTAGGCTGTCTGAATCACGAATTATCCATTCAGAAGTGATTTTGTTTTTCCTACTTTAAATAACTCAGGTTTTTTAGGGGCTGGGTCATCCTAATTTCTTTTGGCCATTTAGTCTTGAAATTTCCTGTGTTTTAGAAAGCAATGACGGGAAATGCCATGCTGGGTCAGCAGTTTGTATAAAATAGGAGTTTGGACATGTCAGGTACTTTTATATTTGATAACTGAGGACAAGCGCAAGAGATGTTCTTGCTAAAGTTATTTCAAATGAAAATAATGCAAAATTACTTAGCTTCAGTCTTGAATCTTTTGAATGGCTGACAAGAATACTGATTAGCGAGGTGGTTAGAGACTATTGTCAAAACAGAGTGGAAATAAATAGTTCTTTTCAAAATGAAGCTGGCCATAGTGAACTCCATTGGATAAAGTTGAGTCCACTGGAAAAAGCACCAGATTTATATTAAAGACCTAATCTACTCCTGTCCAAAAGTGACTTTTAATATGCTGCTGTCTTACCACGTTGATAGGTTAGGCCCTTTAAGAGGCTGGATTTACCACAGCCTATCTTTTTACATTTGCAAGGCCAAGTTCAGAGGTTAAAGAGCCATGATATAAAACAATTAGTAAGATGACGTGAAGTACTCAGAGAATACCTCTATGCCATGCCTGTGCTACGTGCTTACGTATTTATTCTTTGCAGCCAGCCACTGAGATAACTCTTCCTCTTTATAGATGAGGAACTGTACTTAGAGCGCTTGGTTGGCTTGCCAAAGGTTACCAAGGATGGAGTAACACCAGGATTTGAATCAAGACTTCCAGCTCCTCAGGTTTTTTGCCTTTGGTGTCTCCTACCTGCAGAGGAAATGCCAAACAAAGAGCCGGAATTTTTTGGAGTTGGAGTTCGGAATTTGGTGGAGTTGGGAGAGGGGGTGCTTTAAAACCTTGCTACTTGATATTTTTACATAATGTTTTGGTTATCAACAAGGGGCTCATGCCCAGTATCCTAAAGGAATGCCAGTTTTTCAATGTAAGCCACACGAGCAGAAAACACCAACTTCACAGTTGAATTTTCTCTTAGCTTTGCAACGGGATCTTTCCTGCCTGCCTCCTAGGATCGTGGAGGAACTGTGGGTCTATGTCCAACAGTGGCTTCTCAAGCTGTGTGGGGGTACTGTCACTCACATGGCAGAGTTCAGCACTGTGGACTATCTGGAAGCGAAAACAGATTTGGATTTCCTGGGTGCAATTTGGAGGCGTCCCAGCAGACCACACAGTGCACTGGGACATTTAGACAGTGTGCAAACAGCCGCCCTCATGTCCCTAGGTCGATGCAATATGAGAGGAGGAAAGGACACAGATTTCTTTTCTTGGTACACCTAACTTTCCAGTTTGGGCTTGAAGTAGAACTGCAATGTCAGTGGAGTTCTGGAACTGACAAATGAAAACATCTGATAAATGGCAACTAAGAGAAGAGACCAAGCAAGGCCCTGTCATCTTAGGGAATACTTTTATCATCTCTGAGTGACATCGAGTGGAGATTTACAAACATTTTTAATTCTTAAAGGCACTTGGGTGATCTCTACCTAATCTTTTTAAGGTGGCTTACAGGAGGATGTCATTTTAATTTCTTTAAAACGCAGTGTTTTGCTAACTGAAATACTGTGAAAGACTATGAGTACTGAACAAGCACCAGATTTCTTCCCTGAATCCTGTTTGTTTGACCTTTGATCAACTTAGCACTTAGAAAAATCAGCTTTTTTTTTTGGAAATAGTTGCGGCTCATGCTCCCGAGTGCTGAGATTTTTCAGAAAATTTATAATGACCATTTTATGATTCATTTTTAAAGTTAGGGAAACAGAATGGCTATTGT